GAAATTAGCCAATACAATGAGACCCACAGGAAAATGTGCTAGAATCAGTGTTTATGTTGATGTAGACGTAGCAGTTTTAATGCTCATAGTAAGTGTAAAGCATATTACAAAGAGAGAATATTTTTTAACTGTTCTGTGCAACAAAAAATTACAATTTTTTTAACAAAAATGTAGTTAAACTAAGTAGTAAGTATTTTAACATACAAATTACTTACAATTTAAAACTATGTTTACATTACATTATTACTGCATATCACATTTTTATTAATTTAAATTGCATAAAATAATGAAAAAATTATGTTAAAATAATACTTTATTTACCAAAAAGTGTATTTTCTATATAATTAAATTTCTTTAGTGAATTTGTTTTTCAAAATTTAGCGACTTTATTATATAGAAGTTTGGCTGTATTTGTTACAATTTAAAAAAAAAAAAAAATAAATATANATATATATATACTGTATATGAGGCACATTCAGAAAGTAAGTTCAGACTGAATAAAACAGGCATAACAAACAAACTATTTTTTTTTTTATTACATAAGTTTGATTAGCTCTTGAGCTTATTTTTCAACATAATCACCTCTAACATTAAAGCATTTTTGATATCAGAAAATAAGTTTCATTTCCTTCTCATAGAAGTTACCCACCAAAGTATTCATCTAATCTCTCATATTTCTTTGTCCTTTTGCTGTGACTTCCAAAATAATTTTCAGTCAAAACTTTCTTTATCTGAAAGAACAGACTGAAATCAATTGAAACAAAATCAGGAGAATAAGGTGATCAAAATATTCTATTTGAATTGTTTCAGCAAATTAGCTGTTTCATTTGCAGTATGCAGCTGTGCATTATTGTGGTGCAAAACTATGTCAGAACAGAGTAGGCCTCACCTTTTGGTTTGAATAGTTCTTTGCAATTTCCTCAAGGTCTCACAAAATCAATTTGTATTTACTGTCATTCCACAAGCCAGAACTTCAATGAGCAAAGTGCTATGTCTGTCCCAAAGACAATGCACATGACTTTTCTGGCAGAAAGTGTCTGCTTCACCTGTCTCACTGGAGATAAACCATGATGCCATGTATTGACTGTTGCTTACTCTCTGGAATCACATGAACCATCCGGGTTTTATCATTTATCATATGACCAAGGAAGTCATCTCTTTCATTGCAAAAATTATCCAAGAATGTCTGTGTTGAAGCCATATGATTTTTCCTATTTTTTTTTAATCCTTTGTAAAAAATATCCAAACCTAAAGGATTTTTATATTTCATATTTCCAGACGACTTACATTTAAGATTACTTATTTTGAAATTTTTTTTGCCCTCATCAGACTATTAAATAAATAAAAAATACATCTTTCAATACGTGATACATTACACATAAGTTATAGATAAATGTATGCCCCCTGAAATGGAGATATAACAAGTATTTTTCTGATGTTTACTACAAAATAGCATTTAGATAACTTTTTTATAAATCATACATTTTCCAAAAATTTCTGTAATACAAGATGTTTTTGGCATAATTACTTAACAGTAGAAAAAAAATATTTTTAAAAACATTTAAAATTTAACATCAATGTTCTAAATTTTTAAATAATACAAATAAAATAATACAAAGCTTACGTTTTAAAAAGCTTATAGCAACTTAAAATACTATAAATATAAAACTGCTGATTTGCAAGTTCAGTATCTGCACATTTTTTAACACAGGTTTAGTCACAGTAAACCATAATATAGTCAGATAATCTACATATTGAGCAACTGTTTACAACAATTATTAATTTCTATATACTGATCATTTATTTGCTTAACTTCTCTATTCTCTAACAATTTTCTTTTAAATATACTTTTTTCTTTTTTAATAATTTTTAAATTTTTCAATATAACAATTATGCTGTAATATATGTAAATATATTGCCATATTTAATTTTTTAAAGTGTATTGTAGCTAAATGTTCTTTTATTCTGCATTTTAATTGTCCACTGGTTTTAGATATGTATGAATAGTTATTCTGTTTGTTACAACTGAATTTATAAATTACACCTGTTTGTCTACATTTATATTATCTGTTTTAATTATATTTTTCTTCTTTTGGTTAAATTACTTAATTTAAAAGATTACTTGATAAATTACTTATCTCTGAAATTAATAAGATATTATATCCTTTAAATTTACTTTAAATACACTGCTGGCCATCCAAAATGCAACACCCTGAAGGAAGTATTCAAATCAAGTAAAATTTGCACCATACATTTGCAGCTATGAGATATGCAAATGATTAGCATTTCAGTGCAGACGCACATCATGAGTGCCTGTTGTGCCACCTGCAAGCGCTACATAAAGGGAGAATAGAAGGCCATTTTGAAGTACTGGAATTGTTCTTTCGTGTGTTTTTTTGGTGTAAGCAGCTTCAGTATGCCACTCAGAAGAAAACGAGCATCTTTTGAGCACATTTCTGAGTTTGACCGAAGAAGAATAGTTGCCTATAGGGATTGCGAATTTTCCTTCAGAGAAATCGGTGATCGTGTCAGACGTAACCAAGCAACCATGATGCAGATCTGTAACTGCTGGATGCAGAAGGGAATGACGGACCGACAGGACCGATTGCACCCACCTCGTTGCATCGGTATGCATACGATATGCCTATCATCACTGCACGTGATGATAGGCATATCGTATGCATGGCAGTGATGGATCGCTGTGCCACATCATGAACCATATCACAACAAATTCAGTCTGTTGCACAATAATCGGTGTCCATGCATACCATTCGACGTCGTTTGCAGAAGAGTGGAATGTCTGCAAGGCACCCATTGCCGCATTTACCGTTGACTCAAAACCACAGGCGTTTGTGCTGGCAATGGTGTGATAAATGACACATGGACAACCAAATGAAACGACATTGTTTTTACTGATGAATCTTGCTTCTGCCTGCAACACCATGATGGTCAGATCAGTGCCGGGCCGAGGCAAGTTTTAGGATGGAGCGAGATCCTATTATTGCACCCCCCCTTGGTTGCCCCTAACTTATACCCTTTAATTTTCTTTACCCCTAGGACTTAGCGCCTGGAGCGGCTGCTCCATTCGCCCTATGGTAGGGCCGGCTCTGGGTTAGATTAGAGTCTGGAGACACCATGGTGAGAGACTGCTGAACTGTTGCCTTATGCATTGCCATACTGGTCCTAGACCCGTGATTTGGGGTGGTATTGGATTCCACTCCCGCACCCCCCCTAGTATGCATTGCCAGTACACTGACCAGCCAGTGCTATATCTCTGAGGTGTTGGAGCTGTTGTCCTCCCATACTTTCATAGCTTGCCAACGGCCACATTCCAACAGAATAATGTGAGACCACACATGGCACACATTGCTCAAGACTTCTTCTTTGCCCATCAAATTGCATTGCTGCCTTGACCTTGACCTCCTTGTTCTCCCAATCTCTCATTTATAGGAAGTGTCTGGTCGATGATTGCAGAACGACTGCCCTGGATACACCACCCGCTGCTACACCAGATCAACTTTGGCAATATGTGGAAGTAGCATGGAATGCTATACCCCAACAACATATCCAAAGCCTCTTTGAGTCAATGCTGAGGCATGTAGCAGCGATTATAGCCAGCAATGGCAGCATCACTCCATACTGATTCCATCATCTTCCTCAGTTTACAAGAGACTGTATTTTCAATCATTTGATCTTTGTACAACATGTCATCTCCCAAATAAACTTGGCTGTGATATCTCTGGTCTTTCTTGGTGTTGCATTTTGGATGGCCAGCAGTGTATTTTCTAAAAATTTTCAATATGTGGGAAAGTTATATATCTGTTCTAATGCTTTTTATCTTCTATTTTAACACTAAGAATCTTACAATACTGTTATAAATAATTTATATGGATAGCTGTTCAAAAGTATTTTGAATACTATATTTTCCATTTCTTTTTGTGTAGCAATGGGGTCTGTTGTTCTATTAATGATTATTAATATATCCACAAAAAAGGTATTACACTTAGCATATGTTACATGTTTGAATAAAAGTCTATTGTTTTATTTATGTTACACAATTTTAGTATGTTTTATTATCTAACTTATTCTCTGTTCTATTTTTACATCTAAATAATTTAAAGAGTTATTTGATTCTTTTTCATATTTAATTTGGGTATTAACAGTGTTTACTCTATTTGAAATTTTATATGCTGTTATCAATTTTTTTATTATATATTATTAAATAATTACCTACATATGAACACAGAAATTATACCATTTATTTTAGAAATCTGTGTATCTATTTTACTTATAACTATTTCTGCTAATTTAGGTCCAATAACAGACCCCATTGTTACACTGTCCATTTGTCTATAAGCTATGTTATCATTTACAAAAAATTATCATCGGAAACAAATTTTATCCATTCAACAAAATCACATTGTTTTTCCTTTACAACACTAATTATATCTGTGTGCTTTTGTTTGTGCTCATTTGTCAGCAATTTTAGTAACCATCGTGAACAAAATTTCTGAAAGTGCAAATATTATGTAATGATTTCATAGACTACTGAGCTTGAGAGAATGTAATATTCAATTCAGAAATAGTAAATCTTGTTTGTACTTCTTCTTTCACCTGCTTGACCAACTCATCTGTGACAACTGTTGGACAGTCATTGCATTCTTCATCAAACATATCTTTTCCCAGAATTGAACTACACCAGCATCATACCATTCCACCATTCATGGCACTGTCACTATACACCTCACAAATTTGTCAATGAATTTTAGAGAGACAAACATCATAAGCATTCAGAAACTTGATTACAGGTCTTATCAGGTCTTACAGGTGGAATTTTAAATTTTCTTTCATTTTCAGATATCATTGTGAACAACTGAAATATACTAAACAAAACTGAATGTGTCATCTGCACAGACAATACATGTGACCAGAATTACTTTACAAATGTGTCTCATAATTATTGCTTTAAAAAAAATAAAAAGCAATAAAAAGTAACTTACTCTTGCAACACTGTGTATTATTAGAGTACTTTTACTTGCAGGCATTCCACTTTTTCCTCTACTTTCTAATTCTCGAAGAGCAGCATCAGTTAGAGATTCTTCTGTTACTTCTAAATTAAATTAAATTTATTTAACAAAAAACATATTATTATAAATTATTTCTTATAAATTAACAACTAAAAATAACCTGTTTAACTGATTTTAATTATTTTATACTATACTGATTGCTTGTTTACATAATATGTAAGAAAATAAAAATTAAATAAATGATTAAAAATATGAAAATAAAATGAACTATGGAAAATACATTAAAAATGATTGTTACAGATATGGAAATAAAACAATAATAAATTTCAATTAAAATTATCTTCTAAATTCTTCATAGAATGAAAAGATAAAAAGTAAACCAGTTGAGAATGATTACATCCACTATATTTACTTTCAGTTTTCTTTGCTAATTTTTACAACATTGTAAAATATAAGCCAGAAATTCAATACTGTATTTTTATTCAGGGCCTTGCCGTACTATAATAGAGAGGCAGCCGTATCAGGCAACACATAAGGGGGCAGTAAATAAAACATTTAAGGAGTGGCATTTCAAAGACTTGCATCATACTGAGAAAATCTGCACGGCTCTGTTTTTATTATACTTTTGTCCACTTTAGACATTCTTGTGAACTAAGACTTGTTATACTGAGGGAAGAGAAACACATAATTTCCAATTAAAATATTTTTACTGTAACATAATCTTGTTACAGTAAAAATACAATAGTACAAGATTATGCTACAGTAAAAATATTTTAATTGAAAATTGTGTTTTTCTCTTCACTCAGTATAACAAGTCCTAGTTTACAAGAATGTCCAAAGTGGACAAAAGTATAATATAAGTAATTAAGGACAAGAAGCATGTATCAACTTCAATACTGTATTATAAGAACAACTTATATTATTAATATCTCATCAAGAAAATTAAAACTTTGTTAAAAAAAACAATATAAAATATATATATTCTACAACTTTCTATAGTAAATGCTGGTACATATAATTATCACTTCTTACCATTTAGATTTCCGGTAAATACGAATTCAATTAAATGAACTAACGTTTTCAATTCTCTACAGAGATCTGCTTCAGGTTCAGAAATCATTCCAACTATGAAATGCCAAGAATTCAAATGTTTTTGAATACAAACTAATTTAAATAATTGTGCTAGATTTAATGTATAGACAAAAGACTCCCATATCTGTATATTAATGCATTGGCTCATTCTTATGTGAATAATATGTAATTAATGATGGGGATGCTCTTCATACGCGTATTGCTACGCAAACAATAATGTGTTGTCTCTGAAATTTATACAATTCCTAACCCTGCTTGCTTTATAAATTTTGAGGTTTTCCAGGGTCCTGATGTGGTCTGTCTGGAATGATTTTCTTATGAGAGTGGTGTTCTCTAAGTCAGCCTGTATATCTCAGTCTGTGGTGTATGTTGACAGGGCGGTGATGTTTTTTCCTTTGTCTATGTCATATTTGTGTTCCATGATTCTCTTTTGTAAAGACATTTTGATCGATTCAATGTAGACGAAGTCTCTCTGGAACCTGTGGTCCCTGATTGGGTCACTGTACACCCCTGGTGCCCACAAGTTATCTGGTGTGTGTCTTTCGCATTTCTTAGTAGCAAGTAAATTGTTTGTGTCCTGAATACTAATTTAATCCTCTTCTTTTGTGCTATTTCTTTGTATAAGGAATGGAGGTTTTTGTTGTACTCTATGATCCTGTGTTTCTCATTAGGATCCCAATCAGGAATTCCATTGGACCCCGCTTGGTCTGTGATGTAGTCTATAGAAGTCTCATGCTAAACTATGAATTTGTATCTGTGTGTCTGCAGCAATATTCCATAGGTGTTTTAAGCTCCTTCACCGTGTCATCCCATCTAGAGTTGTGCGTAAATGTTCACAAGAATGCAAACAATTTACTTGCTACTAAGAAATGCGAAAGACACACCAGATAACTTGTGGGCACCAGGGGTGTACAGTGACCCAATCAGGGACCACAGGTTCCAGAGAGACTTCGTCTACATTGAATCTATCAAAATGTCTTTACAAAAGAGAATCATGGAACACAAATATGACATAGACAAAGGAAAAAACATCACCGCCCTGTCAACATACACCACAGACTGAGATATACAGGCTGACTTAGAGAACACCACTCTCATAAGAAAATCATTCCAGACAGACCACATCAGGACCCTGGAAAACCTCAAAATTTATAAAGCAAGCAGGGTTAGGAATTGTATAAATTTCAGAGACAACACATTATTGTTTGCGTAGCAATACGCGTATGAAGAGCATCCCCATCATTAATTACATATTATTCACATAAGAATGAGCCAATGCATTAATATACAGATATGGGAGTCTTTTGTCTATACATTAAATCTAGCACAATTATTTAAATTAGTTTGTATTCAAAAACATTTGAATTCTTGGCATTTCATAGTTGGAATGATTTCTGAACCTGAAGCAGATCTCTGTAGAGAATTGAAAACGTTAGTTCATTTAATTGAATTCGTATTTACCGGAAATCTAAAGATTAAGAAGTGATAAATATATATTCTATTACATACAGTATATAGATTTGTATTTTATTGCAATTTAACCTTATTTAAAATATAATCAAAATAATATGATCATTAAGGTTGATAAAAAAAATTATAATAATAATTCTCAAACTATATATTATTTCTCTTATCTACAATTAATCAAATGCTTCATGTTTATTCCAAAAATAATGTAATGTAGTATAAGAAAACAGGAGTCATAAAGTAAATATTCTAAGATTTTAAGACTTCAACTATTTATTCATTCTTTTTCAGAAAATTACAAATTATATATACAGTGGTGTCTTATACTTCAAATTTAATTCATTCCAGGAGACTGTTTGAACTCTGAAGCAATTTTTCCCATTAGGAATAGTGGAGATCGAATTAATCCTTTCCCAGACCCTAAACAATACCAATTTTGATAAACTTAAAACAGCAAATATAGATAATTTAAGGTAAAAATAACACAATTAAATGCCCTAATAATAAATAAAAACACTAAAACTATAAATAAAGTATGTAAATAATGTATAATAAAATGAAAATTGCAGTTACTGGTCACACACTGTCAATTTCATCATCTTAAACATGGCTGCCAGATCTACCACACATGTACTGTACTGCTTTCATGCTTCATGACAAATTCCTTTTTCAACTCAGCCTTTTTCAAGCCTTCCTCCACTAGTTACACTTTGTTGCTTCTACACACTTCTGGGATACCATGATTAATAAGTAAAGATAATATTGGGTTGAACAGAAGAAACTTTGTGCATTTTTAACTGCTGTTACTTAACATAAATGTGTGCTTTGTGAATTTTAACACATTATTGCTAATCTGAGATTATACACTTTGTTCAGAACCTTATTTTATGCTTCCAATGCATTTTTCATTCCACATGCAGTTCAAACTTTGAAGCATCATTTGAACTCTGAAGCAAATTTTTGTCAAATTTGGCATTCAAACTCTGAAGCATTCAAAGTTAGAGTTGTTTGAAGTACAAGATACCACTGTAATTTTATATTATTGTGTAAATGCTTTCACAATATAATGGCTACTTATAATTAAAATTTCCTATATGACATTGCTAGAATAGATGGAATAATACACAATGGATGAATTAACATAAAATTTGGATAATAAGTTCTTCAGAATATGCTAAAGGCAATTTTTTCAGGAAAAAAAATCTGCTTTTGATTATTAGATGAAGTACAGCAATGTAATCAATATTGCTGTAAATAAAATATTTTTTTCATTATTCAGCCTATAAATACTGGAAAATATGACTAACTTTATAAAACCATACATTCTTAAATTCTACTTCCAAAATCATAGAAATACAGTTGTAACTATCAGAAAATATCAATGCATTCCAGAAACATCTTTTCCTTACATTCTTTTTGCTCTGATTTAAGCTATTACAGAAGAGACATCTTGTGTTGCATAACATCTTTTCTACTAATGAAATTTGGAATAAATTTTTTTCCACATTTATTCTGGAAAGCATATCCACTGAATTTTACTGAGATTATTATTTTTTTTTTTTGAATTTTACAGAGATGAAGAAGAAAAGATATAATCCTCATCCTGAATATAAATTAATTATTATTATTACTATTATTGTTTAGGAACTACTTATATTGGTTTTTCATGCATTCAATATCTCTGGAATTAATAATTTTTTATTTCTTATTTCTTAATACTAATATTAAAAAAATGCAATATTTAATAATATTAACTTTTTCAAATAAGATAAAATTCTTCTCAAGTACTCAAATGGGTTCTAATTATATTTCATCACCAAAATCTTTACTCCCCAGCAATCTTAAATTAATGCTAAAGCTTTCAACATTTATTTAAATGTCATCCATAGGTTAAAAATCACTTTCAAACTTTTTAACAAAAAGGATTACATTTAAATCAAAATATGAATTTACAATGTTTTAAATGATTGGATTCCTATTCAATTTACTTTTATTTCAAATCTTTAAAACACATAAATGCCAATGTGCATTGTAATACAAATAATTACAAAAATTACAATACGAACAGACATAATACATATAACATATTAAGTACTGTACATATAGAAGGGAGTGCTCTCTAATTACAGTACTTTATGGATGGGCTTGTTTAGTCCTTATAGTTGATTTCCCAACATGAACTGATTTGTAAATTTCAAGCCCTTCTAAGTGGTTCAATCCAACTTTATTTTCAATGGGTTTTGTTGGTTTGGTACTGTTCCAACTAATGCTGTGCCTTTATTATAATGAATTTAAGTTCTTTAATTTGTGTTTTAAGGAACTCCTATTATGTACTCATGTTTCTACCGATTCTTTGATCTTTTATTGGTTTCTTGTAAATACTGAATATTAATAACCTGTTTTCATCATTTCTTAAAAGTCCAACCTGTTTTCATCATTTCTTAAAAGGCTATAAACTGTTGGATTCTCTTCTGTAGAAAATCTATTTGCTCAGAGATCTGGCAAGTTCCTTATAGATTTTATT